AAAATTCATTTGCGTTTGCTTAGCACATTTTCCATGCGCGAGTGCATTTTCAGGTAGTTTTCGAGGTTCGTTTTTGAGGCTTTTTGGGCTTGGAGCCCCATTGCAGCCCCGTCTCTCTCGACACGACACCGGGCCAAGCAAATGTGTCAAATTTTGAGTGCCTTGAGTCTGTATGCCTTTTGGGTGGCCCGAACAGGTTGTTTTCCGACTCGTATTTGCTTGACCGCAGTGTGACAAATATTTTCCATCATTACTCATACGACCCGTGGCCGCCGGAGGAATTTCGCTCTCCCCGAGGACAATTAAAATAACTTGTTGAAGGTCCTCGGGCAAGGGACTCGGGAGTGCAATTAAGTAACATAGAGATGCCTCCGCCGGGTGGGCGGAGGGTTTATCTTTGGCCCACTCCTGACCCCACAAAAAAATGTGACAATAACCGGGTGAGAGGTCACTTTGGGAGGACTATCCTAAAGAGGGGGGACGGATTGGAATTGGACAAATGTTTGCCAATGTCCGGCACAGGAAGAAACCCGATCTGACCACGCGCTGCTTTTTCAATGCTTTTCCCCCACTTTTTTTTGCCCACAATATTTTGTTTTTGCTTTTTAGACTTGGCTGTTCATTGTTTGTTATGGCTGGCTTTTGTTGCAAAACGCTGCAATGTTGAACTATGAATGCAATTTCGTAAATTATTTTCCTTTTAAGTAATTATTAAGGTGTGGTCCGGTTGCAGTTCGCCGTAGTTGCTGTCTGGCTATCAAATACACACAAAAGCACACGCTTTGTCTTTGAGTTTGGGTTTTTTATTTCCAAATACTCTTTTTTTGGAGAGGTTCTATTGGCTTTGGGCTAAAGGTTTGATCTCTAAAGGCAAGAAAACTTGACAGATTAGCTAACTAAACCTTTCGTATGGAAAGTATATCCCTCTGTTGGGTTTGCTTTTTCTCTAAGTTATTCATCCATTGTACGCCATTTAACTAATAACACGGCTTGGGCACTCGTTGGCACTCCGAGTCGCTCGTCACTCATTCACTCACTCAGTCGCCTAGTCAGTCACTCAGTCAGTCGTTCATTCAGTCAGTTAGTCAGTCAATCACTCATTGGGCCACTGGAGTCCTGCCCTGCAGCTCATCCCTTCCATCAATGTCATAATAAATTCGCGGTGGGCGAGGAGCCTTTCAGGTGTATTAATGCCGCAGGACCCTAAATTATCAACAATTGCGCTGAATGTTTTGATAATAGAGTGTATTGCAATGGGAAATTGGCACTTGGCTACTGGACTACCAGGCTTTCTTTGCCGACAGATTATCGATGGCTCTAAACTCGACTAATTTCAATAATCAGATGGGGCTAATCGGAGGAAAAAGTGGCGCAAACGATTAACCAACAATCGTTCAGTTGTGGCACACGACAAAATAATGCCTGCCGCTTTGCACAAATCACCCGAAGGTGTTGCCGGGCTTGGATTTCTAACAACAATCAACAAATCGCCACTTTGGTCGACAACATGAATGGCAAATTACAACACCAACAGCAGCACGGCCAACTAACAACAATTCAATGGCTACAAATTTGCTGTAATACAGCAACAATTACATTAAAACGCGACCATAAACGTGCCAAGTCTTGGACCTGGCTTAGACCAAGGCCCAGGCACAGGCAGAGCCGGGCCAAGCCAGCCCAGGCCAAAACCCAGAGCCCAAGCCAACCACTAACACCAAAACGAAGTCTAAGCCAATGCCAAAGCCAAAGCCAAATGTTCGGACTCGCACATATATAAAGTTTGACGATGAGGCGCTACCAAAGTCATTCCACACCTTGTAAAATCAACAAAAAGGCAGCCGAAGACCCAAGAAGCAGAGCCAAGAAGCAGCAGCAACTGCAGCGGCAGCAGACACTGAGATAGAGATGGTTAGATACACGGCAAGCCGCGAGATACTAAGATACAGAGAGGGAGAGCCGCGATGCAGCGTGCAATTTGCAGCCTAGAAAAATAATTGCATGTGGAAGTTGCAGGAGGGGCAGAGAGCTAGAAATTGCAGAAGAAGGGTTGCTGTTGTAACTAGGAAAAGGTTGACTCTAGATGCAGTGAGAGAAAATATTGAAATTTATAGTTTTGAAGAAAAACCTTAGCAAGAAATTGCAACCCATACTGCAACCTTAACCTACTACTCTGTAATTTAAAACTATTCCAACATTTCTCTCTGTGTTTAAGCCTAAGCCTAAGCGTCTCATTCATGAAGACGACGACGTCGAGCTGCAAGTGCAAGTGCAGCTGTAACATTAACATGCAACCAGACGATGTTGTTGCTGCCGCCGAGATGCAGATGCATTCAACGTCATTGTTATTGTTGTTGCTGTTGCTGTTGCTGTTGCAGTTACTGCAGCAGTAGGCAGCAGGCAGCAGGCAGCAGGTGAATTGCACGATTTTCAATGCAAAAGTCAAGAGCGCCAACGGAAAAAAGTCGTTAGCCAAGTTTTATGCAGGCAGTTGCAACTATTTGCTGTTGTTGTTGGCTAGAACTGTGGCACAGCCGTCGCATGTGGCCAGGCTCCACTTTACTCAGAGCTAGCATTTAGCTGCAAGTTCGATGTATGAGTGTTTGGTAGCAGCTTCCTTTTGGCAGGCCGTCGCATATGCAGATGCCTCCTGCCAGGAAAAAAAAAGCAGGCACCATGCACCATGCAGCAGGCACCAAGGCAGTAAAGCAACAAAAGCTAAAAGGCCCAAAGGCCTATGGGCCAAGATCGAGAATAAGAACAAGAACTAGAACTAGAATGGGAATGGGGACGAGACAGCTGTTTCCGTTTGTTAAATGTTTGCCGGATTGGCAAGAGATTGCCACCGCCGACATTGATGGCTGTGAATTTGTTGTGGCATTAAATGTGTCTTGTTGCCGGGCTTATGCACGTCAGCTAATTATGGTCCATATACAGTGCGTTTCGCTCCATTCAGATAAGATAGGACAAGAAATAAAATATCAACAGGCGTCGTGAAAGGGGATATACAATATGCCATTAACATGAAAAATAAAAGTTGGCTGCTAAGATGGCTGCTAACTAGAGTTTATTGGTTAATAAATAGATAGCTTTTGAGACTGCCTTACACTTATACCCTGCACTGTAATTTTAAATACCAACGATCCACGATCCACGTGTGTGGCCAGCGCCAGGTGATAGACTACGTTTTCCACCTGCGCTTTTCCGCCTTCCGCCACCTCCCCAAAAATTTCCAGCAAAGTCAGCAGCCAAGTAAGCTTTTCTGCTGCGTTTTTCGTTTATTTTAGGTGTTTTTTTGGCTTTTTGTTTTTTTGTTAATAAACGTATTTAATGTTCACACATTTGTCACGTTGTTGTTTTAGTTTCTGTTTACGCAGCATTGCATTTGTATTTACAACACCTCTCTTACGATATTCATTGTCGCTGTGGCACTGTTCGGCGCTATCTTTCGGCCAAACGGAAAACACTTTTCGAGTATCCATTATCTAAGCCGCAATAAAACAAAAAAAAATAGTTTAACCAACAAAAGACTCCCGAAACAGCTGCAGGCCGTTTGGCAGGCGAAACCCGATCGGTCCGAAAAGTTGTAGGTTTTAAGCCCCGAAAGATCAACAATAAAACTGAACTTTGTTTTTATTTGGACAGCTCAAAAAACGGTCGAAAATATTATTTCGCGATGATTAAGGCCAGAACTTGAGTCAGACGTTATTCGATAATATCATATGGGAATGATTTCATATTGGGTGGGATTTAATTTTATTATTATTGTCGGTTAGTTGGGCTGTTGGGGGAAATCATTTAATGTACAGAGCCTTATCAGCTGAAACTATTTAGCAAAAATAAAAACTATATAAAGGAAAAACTGAAATTGCGATAATTTGAACTATGCGTTTGCTCTACTCTATCAGTACATATAGTATGTATTCGGGGGGAGAGCTATATTGTTATAAAGAATTCGTACTATATACATTTCCACACTTGACAAGGCAGCGCAAATTTTCAGCAACAAAATAAAATCAATTTCGTATGCCTTGATAAGAAAGTGCAAAATGTTTCCGCTTTTTGTTGTTCCCGTTTTTATATTTTTTTTTGCTTTTTTTGTTTGCGAGATTGCATGACAGTACTTGGACGAGTATACCATATACCATATATAATAAATCTTTTTTTTTGTTCAATAATTCTTGCTTAAAATTTATTGTTGGTGTATTTTTTGAGATTTCGCCACGTATCAGGCTCGCCGAAGCTGTCGTAATTTGGGTCAGAATCGGCCGCGTCAGGGACTGACTGATAAGAGCTGCTCGGCAGAGCCGATTACTCTGATTGCGGTGGCGATATAGCCGCACATTGTTGTGAATCAAATTGGCAATCGGGAAGAGAAACGTTTGGGTATCGCATCTGCTTCCGCCACAAGATTGGTGTGTCAGAATTTCTTCTGAATGAATCTGCATCTGTATCTGTATCGGAGTATCTCGTGGTATCTCTGCATGCAAAGTATCTATGGGCTGGCACTCTACAGTTGCTTGAACTTCTGTCCTTAAGTATTGCTCAATGCAATTGTACTTGCGGCCGATCGCATTGTGACGCCTCTGATAGTCATTGGCTCCCCGCCCAGCGACGCCCATTGTGTATCTTTGTTTACACATTTTCGCTTTCGAACATTGTTGTTGCTCTGTCACTGAAGGACAATGTCAATGAGGCATTGCACACACACACATACGGTATGAGTGTGTTTATTATTCATGTAATTTTAAGGGTTTACCGAACGATAACCGATCGTAGAACTTGAACGAAAGTGAAGGAGGCGGCAGTCAGTCCCCTTGGGCGATAATGGGGGGATCAAGTGCGTACGAATGGAAATCGAACAATTTACATTCAAGATGATCTAGTCTATTTATAGAAATATCTACTAACTAATCACGAGACATTTATTATAGCTAACCATAAAATATATTTTCAATTTATTAGCAATTATTTGGGGAGTAACTGTGCGGAATACGTACATATTTCATAGCTGCTGATGTGCATAGCATCACATATATTTTTCTTAAATTATCTCTGCCCAAAAGCCAAATTGATGCTGCGGATAATGCTGTCGCTGTTGCCGATGCTGCTGCTGCTGCGCTGTTGCGGCGCCGTCGAAGCCAACGCAGTCGCCGCCGCTCGTTTGGGGCAGAGAGTGGAGCAATTTACAGGCAGCAGCTCGAAAAGCAGAGTTGCCCCTTGGAGTGGGATGCTGCAACAGCTCCTCCCGGTGATGTTGTATATAATTTTTATATACAATAAAAATTCTTCTCTCGTTTTGGTGGGCAGCTCACACAAAAGGCAAAAAATGCAGGCGAATTTTGTTTTTTATTTTTGTGGCGGATTTTTCATTTATTTTTATTTAATTTTTGTTGTTGCTGTTGTTGTTGTGTTTTGTTTGGGCTATTGGTTGGCGGTATTTATCTGTTGTGGATTTATACTATATATGTAGAGCACAGAGTAAATAATATGCAGCGCGTGAAAATAAAACGCGACTTTTCTTTCGGCCTTTAATATTTTTTTTTTTATATTTATTTTTTTATGTTCAATTTACAGACAGCGGCAATTGTGTGATTTTTTGTACTCCTCCACGATGTTGTTGGTTGTTGCACTTTGTGTTGCTGTAGATTTTTTGACAGTTGCCCCGCTGCCACTACTGTTGTTGTTGTTGTGTATTAATTTTAATTATTTTTGCAGCATTTAATTTTTTGCTCTTTGATATGTTTCTTTATCAAAAGGCTTTTTCATTAAACTTTTTTTGTTGAACCTTTCCTTTTTGCTTTAAAAATAATTCAAAAGTAATGACTACTTTTTTAATTATTTTGTTTTTTATCGTTAGTTCGTTTAACGTTAATATTTTGTTTTTTTTTATGGATTGCACTTTTTGTATGTGGTTTTCTTTGTATTTAATTCAACATAAATTTACTAACAAAAGTGTTGCTGATGTTGTTGTAGCTACAGTAGTTGTTGTTGTTGTTGTTTAATATCTAAAATATGAAAATGGCAGAAACGTTGAGAAACAGAGTCGGATGCGGCAGAAGAACGTGTGCCCGAAATGATCTCATTCACTGCAGTTTTTAATTTTCAGATAACAAGTAGATGGAAATCTATAAGATATCGTATCTTTGGCTGACAAATATTTAAGCTATGCCAAGAATGCCACAAATTAAACTAATCCAATATCAGAAGATTATTATTATGGAACCCTCGGATGGCTGATTCGATTTTAATCGGAATTCTCTGAACGCAGCAGCACAAAAAAATGAACTGAACTTGCCCAAAACGAAATTAGCTAGCCAGAACCAGGACCCTCCTCTCAGCGAAGAGTTGAGCTTAAAAAAGTTTATGGCAGCGAAAAATGCGAATAAAAAATGTATATGCTCATATATATATAGAAAAAATCGCCTGGCAAGTACTGGCCAGAACAAAAAAATCAACCAAAAAATACCATTGTAAATAGTAATTTAAGTTTCGTGGGGAGCTCGGGATGGATGGACGGAATGGGTTTGGGGTTTGGGTTGTCCCGAAAAACGTAAAATAAAATAATAAAGCAGAAGCTCGAGAAAATATAAAAAAATCCAAAAAAAAAGAAAACCAAACGGAAGGTGAGCCAAGGAAGCAACGAAAATCAAATGGCTGCTGCCCTGCAGTTTGGTCAGCTGCTGCTGCCGCCGCCAGAAGGTGGAGTGGGGCAGGAAGTGTGGCAGCGGCAGCGCCAGGGACTGGTGGCTGGGGCAAGGTGAGGGTTAAGCTCTTGGACCAGCGGGATGGGGTATTCCAATTGATGTTGCGCAGCTGCAGCGCAGCTACATTTTTTTCGGCTATTTAATTTGCCATTTTTTTTGTCTAGCATATCTGGGAGTTGATTTTTTGCCCATTTTTTTTTGTTTTCAGTTTTTTGTTTTAAAATTTTTTGTGTTTTTCTGCCATTTTCTACAGTTCTCTCTCAGTTTTTGTTCATTATGCTGTGCGCCAAGCCCGACGGCAAAGTAAATGCCAGCAACTGGAGACTGTGGACCGACCTGGCCATTGTCATGGCGGTGGAACGTTAACGGGGGCGGAGACGGAGACGGGACGGGCGGGCCAGAAACTGACGAAAATTGAAACTGACAAAAATTTGTTACATTTGCCTGCACAGAAAAGTTGGCGACGACGCCGGCTATTCCCGGAGCCCGAAACCACCCGAAAAAAATACACACTTTATTACTGGTACTTGCAGCCACTTCTTCTTCATCTACGGACGAGTCGTCCTTTCTTCTAGCCCAACCCCATTACCCCACCACTTTTTTCCCATTTTTTCGACAGCTTTGTTTGTTTTGTTTTACGGCTGCCGCTTCAGAAGTTCGGCTACAGTTCATTTTGTATGCTGCCTGCCTTTGTGGTTCTTTTAGATTTTAATTTTTCCTTTTCCATCTACATTTTTGAAGTTTTCTGTTTGGAGTCTGTTTTTTTGGAGTCACTCATTGGGTTTCGAGGGTGCAGTGAACGAGAATCGAAGTCGGTGTTTGGGACATGAAATGCAATGCTTCTATGATCTTGAGATGCTTTTAATGAGTTCTCATGAGTTCTAAATTGATTTTCTGGGTTTATTTTTGAATTAGTGAGAATTTCACTTTTCACTGTCACTGAGCATTCTTGTGTTTTTATTTGCTTGAAGGTAAATATTATCAATTACACGAAATTGTTATTCAATCCAGGCTCACACAGAAACACACACACGTGCCGCAGGCAGGCACGGAGGCGCACACACACACACTCAGCCACACACATACACCCGCAACAATAAAGAGTCAATCAGCCGGAGACACGCACTTGAGCTGGGCAATGCAACTATTCAACCAAAAGACCGAAATAAAAATGCATTCTATAAAAATTTTGCGAGTGCGCGAAAAAAACTTTTCCGCATTTTGCATGACAGCGCGACAGCGACGACGTCGGCGGCGACGTTAGCTGAGCCAGCGACTGCGGCGCTGACGGCGTTGGCGACGCACACTCACACACAAGCCCCGATTGCAATTTAATATTAATGCCGAAAAAAATCAAACAAACGCGGCCGATTGATGGACCCGAAAGCCACCAAAAAGTGGCCCCACGCGGCGTATACTTGATATTGGGGAATACTTGTTGTTTTTTCAATAATGGCCGTAATTGGCCGTCAAGTTTTCAAGCACACAAGTGTCACTGACTGTTTTTAGTTTAAAAAAATGATTTTTGCATTCTAGTTTTAATAATTTTTTGTTTCTTTAATTTTTTTTTTTGTAATTATTCACTTTGTTTTTTGGATTGGATATTAATTTTTTGGCAATCGTTTATTGTTATTATTGGGCTGTAAACGATTTTCGCCTATGGACTGCGTGTAAATGGGCAATGCGCTTAATGCTTTACGATTGATATACGCGATCGTCGGACGCTACACCTCGGAACGACTCGGGCCGCGTCCGAAAATGCGTTCCGTTGCATATCGGATGCGTTGGTTTATGCGACTGTGCTGACTGCAAAATTATATCACAACAACACGAAGACACCAGCCTCGAGTTGAGTCCGAGCGTCGACGTCGGCTTCAGCGTCGTCGTCGTCGCAAAAAACTGCATACAGGCGTGCATTCGTGTGCGAAAAAAATTAATATGAAATAAAAACTAGAATGCTGAGAGCGTTGGCTCTCCTTTGAGTTAATTTCGCAGAGCAGAGCGCAGACGCGAGAACTTTAGGAGTAATAATGGGGTAAGCCATCGGCACCAACACACTCTCACACCGGGGAGAGGAGTCGTTCTCCGACCGGAGAACGGAGAATGGAGAGCGAGTGCAATGGCTGTCGAAAATGCAGTTGCAGCGCCGCAGCGCGCGTTGATAAAAAAGCTGCGCGCCATGCTGCCAAAATAGCCGGTATTCCCCAAGTTCTCAGGCTCGGATCTCTCTGGGGTCGGCTCGGCTCGAGTCCTCTTGACATTGTTGACAATTGCCCTAGGAAATGTCTAGCTGGCAATTAACTTGCACTCGCCAAGAAGTCACTCAAACCCACACAGTTGCTCCCGCTGCCGCTGTCGCTGCCGCCACTGGAACAATGCCATGGCACTCAGCAGGCATCTCAGAATTTATTCACCACATTTTTTTGTGGTGTCGCTTATTTTTTTGTACGCACGCACACCACCGAAAAATGCAATGCACTTCTGCCGCAGCGCTGTCGTCGTCACAGCAATTAGCTGCCTTTTTGGGTAGTTTATCACGGGCGGGGAGGGTAGGGCTGCCAGGCTGTGAGAGCTGCCATTGAGACTCAAAAAATTACATTTATTATGAGAATTTGTTTTGGGGGATTTTAACCCGGAAAGAGAATTTCAAAAATATTATATAGATATATAAGAGTAATAAATTTTATAAATAATGGCATTGTCATCCAGAGATGCATAAAAATAAACAATCTTAAATGTTTTTAGAGAAATGACCTTATTAATAATTTGCATATTATTAAATAAAGAATTATTTATTAAAAATTAAAGCTAATAATATTATAATATAATAATTTTAACTTATAGTTTCAATTGCATTGAAATAAATAAAAAAAAAACTCACTCAAGCCCCTTCGCTCACCAGCTTAGCTTGAGAAACTGCATTTCCTGCTCATTAACTCGCCTCTCCTGTGGTGAGTTTTCGGCTCAGCTCAGAAATGCACTCAAGAACCTTACTTTGCCTCTCCCACACAGTCACACTCGCCTGAGCCCCGTCCGAGTGGCAGGGGCATGTAAATGAGCTTAATGGCTTCTTATATTTTATTTTTTTGCCATTTTGTGGCTTTGAGTTCTGTCTCTTTGCGTTTTTTTTGTTCTTTTGGCAAATATGAACTTTGGGCTGGCTTTGTTCGCAACTAAATTTTAGTTTCGGCTGATAAGCCATGCTCCTTCTCCCTCTCACTCAGCCATCTCTGTCTAAGTGCGCAGTTAGATTGTCAAAAATGGAAAAAATAAAATGGTGGAACGTGCCATTCGTCGTCTCAACCGGCCAGATGACTAATTCTAAACAGAAGATAAAGCCTGATTCCGTTTATAGATCACGCCAAGAACTGCGCACTCGTGAAAATCTCTACACACTTTTCATTTCACTTTGCCTTAGCAGTTAAGCTACTAAAAAAAACACGCTGAAAAAAAACAGAAACAAAAAAAACAATAACAGTGCATATTGCAATTGTAGTGCAGTTGTAAAACGCCAACGACCTGACTGACGCACGTTCAAGGTATTATCTCATAAAGTGCATTCGCAAAGAGAGAGGGAAGGCGAGAGCGAAGTGTCCCCATACGAGTATAAACTCTGTAGCCCTTGCTCGCCACCAACAACAACAAGAAAACAGAAACAACTGCAGTTTAGTGACAACAATGCGAGCGCAACAGTTGCAAAGTCATGTGCTGTCGAATGCTGCAACTGCAAGTCCAAGACCAAGTAGCGCGTTCATCTGGTATTTCGATAGCTTGTTTAATGAGATTCCCAGACAGGCCGAAAAATATTGTTATATTACTAGTCCTATACTCTATAGAATCTATAGTATAGATACCCCTAGATGAACACCTTTCGATCGATACTCCACCTTATCGTTCGCCTTTTGTTTACATTTCCACAACGGCCGTCACAATGCGGTTTCAGTTGCCACACAAAAGTTATTGGGACATTTGCGATTTTGTGCCTTTACAACATCTTTAATTAAATCAGTTTCTATATATATATATATGTTCTGTATATATGTATACAGGGGTGTATTTGTGCAATAATGCCAGTTGGTTGATAATATTCTTTAATCAATTTTTGCGTATTTATGGGAGGGCAGTCGA